TTTTGTGGGAGATTTCCACAGTTCTTACTGGATTTTTTTCATAAATAGACACTAATTTTTTGTCTTCATAATTTTTGGATACATGTGAATATTCCTTGGTTTTTCAACAATTACTTCTCCCCTAGCATTATTTTCAAATTTTCAATGTTACTAGAGTTATGAATTTTGGATGTTACGGGACTTTGAAGGTAAGAGACGCACGGTGAGTGAAAGAGGTGCGCGCTGGTGGTGTAGGAGTGCGGGCGGAATTAATTACTGAGAGAATTTGAAAAAGTTATAACTCAAATAATATTCAGAATTTGCTATAACTATAAATTGAGCGCCAATTTACATGTGTTCGAAAGTTATGAAGACAAGAAAATAGTGTTTATTTATTAAAAATACTACATAAACAACAACTTTAAAAACCTTTTAAAGATCTCTTAATCTTCCTTGTCATGGACTTCATGAAGAACAAAGTCCGTTATGCAAAAAAAAAATCTGTTTCCACGGAAAATATGACGAGAGAGGATGTTTTTTGTTTATCATCCGTTATTGAAAAAAATCTGCGAAGTATCGCAAAACATCAAAAGCTAAAAATGTTGCCAAAATGGATACCGAAGAAAGTTAATTTATATTTTTGTCGATCCGATTATTTGTTCAAAATATATGAAGCATTAAAGTTTACTAAAATCTTCAATGCTTCATATCTTTCAAACTTCAGAAAAAAATAAAAATTTAATCGTTTCAAGAATAAAAATAAAAAAATCCCCCTGAAAATTATTCATTCGGGGTCTTATTATGCTATGACCACTTCTGCCGATTTTTTTTTCAAAATTTCAATATTTTTCCCTAATTTAACAGTCAAAATCGATATATCGGAATTAATCGCAATCATGCATGGGAGATCGGCGTACAGTATTGCCGAAACCTCCAGTTGGGAAATAACATCATGCTTCCTCTCCAAATAATGGACAGACGCTGCATTAGCAACTGTGTTCATTGCCATTTCAAGGATAGAGTTGAAGTGGAAAAAAAACATAAACATCCAGCGGTTTTATAATTCTGAAGGAAAAGGCCAGTGTGACCGGCTCGTCTCTGTGCAGTACCCGAGTACGGGTGGACACAATAGTTTTCTCCCGTCATGCGCACCCTACTGCGCTGTGATAGGTTGCGGATTCTTACTACATGATGTAGTCTACATCGGAATCACACCTTACACCTAACGCGTGAACGTAAACAAACGAGTCTCCCGTCGTGTTGTCATCGTTTAAACGTGTCGTGACTGGCGAGGAGGAAAAACTTGGACTGCTATTGTGAATATTCAACGTTTGTGTGGATGATCAAAAGGATTGAAACATTATCAGTGAAACAGTAACAGAGACGTGTACTCAGTGTTAGAGGCGTGGGTGTATTTTATGTGTTTGGATTAAAATTGGATAAAAAAAAGAAGAAGATGGCTGGAGAACAGGAGATCAAAGGTAAGTGCCACAGATATCATCTGTAACTGCAGGATACAGCGTCACGTATAATTTTCAAGCTTCTGAATAGAATTCATGAAAATTCAATTTTCGTTTTTTCCTCGAAAAAACCATTGTACTTTGAGAACTAGGCGACCAGTTTCCTAATTTTTTTGGTGTGTTACGGTACGCACAAGGAAAGGTCCGTAAGAAAGATATGGGTATTGTGGGTATAGTTCTCTTTAGATATGGGTATTGTGGGTATTTCTGGAATTATTGAATGAGATTGAATGTCAAGAGAAAATTATAAGTGTGAATTTCTGGGATTGTTAGGGAGTTTTGTTGATGCTTGTGACTATTTCGGTTGTTTGATTCAGATTACTAGAGAGATGTTTTCTGAAGAAAATTTGTTCTCATGAGTGAGGACATTTTCCGGATTATTTTGAGGGACTGGAATTGGTTAATAGAATTGTAGAGATGAAAAGAAGAATTTCATATGGATTATTTTGGAAATATCTCGAGAAGTAGCAGGTTTAGAGAAAAATGTCATGAAACTTTTTTGAAGCCCTTAAAATTCTTCATAAAAAAGGTTTTTTGACATTTCCTCGTGAACCTCCTCATTTCAAAGATATTTGCAAAATAATCTGTGAAATATTTTTGAACTCATCCAAAAATCAAAATTCAATCCTGATACTTTTTAAAAAATCTTCCAAACTAGTAAATTAAAATAAAAATATCAAAAAACCTTTTTTGTAGAGAATTTTTCGGGTTGAAAAAAAAGTCTTTCAACATTTTCCTCTAAACCTCTTCATTTCGAAGATATTCGCTAAGTAATCGAGAAAATTGTTTTAAACTCACCTTCGAAAACAAGAATTCTATACCGATAATTTTCCAACAATATCTTGAATCAGTAGGTTTACAGGAAAATGTCAAAAGACCTTGTGACGACCTCGTCGTCAGACATAATTATTCATTTTAATTAATACGAATGACGTCATGTCGGTGTCTCTCAACTCTTTCCTCTTATGAAGAAAAACCCTGGAAAGTCGTCAGCAACCTCGTTGGAGAGGTTCTGACGGTCTTATTTTTGCCCGAGGAAACTCATTGTCGTCACCCTGGAGAAATATCTCTTCAGGGTCAGGAGGACGACAATGAGGATTAGAGGAATACCATCAGTCTCAGCGATCGAGGTCCTATTCTTCGAGGATGAGGATACCTCCAGACGACGGAATGGAGGTCATAATCGCGAACACGAGGAGTTTGGAGCGAGGACGATGATTTTACGATTCCGGGAATCCGCGAATCGACAGTTCCGGGAATTTCGCGGGCCATCAGTTCCAAAAACCGCGGGTTCATCGTAGTCATCGTGGGAGTATATTGGAGCCGTGGCGCGGCGCCACCGGCTGATCAGAATTCGGGTAGGAACCCGAAAGTTGCCGAAATCTCCCGAGGTACCCACCGCGTGCAAGCAAGCATGCTGCCTCTGGGAGAACACCGGCAGGCGTCATCAAAGACGGACTGTCTTCGTCGCAGTCTTCGAATTTATTATTAATTACTCTGTTACAGTCACAGTCGAGTCAATATTAAGGGAATATCAATTCCATCTTCTATTACAATTTATTGAGTCACAGTTAAGTCTATTTTGTCAATAGCATCAGTTGTGATCAACAGTCGAGAAACAAAGGAGGTCAGAACTGCCATTATTATTATTTCTGTATAAAGTCAAGTCGAGTCAATTTTTTGTCGAGTAATCAGTCGTGAGCTCGCGGATCTTATCAAATTATTATCAATTTACTTCTGTTATTTAAATATGTTCATTTATCATTTGAATTGATTATTGTCGGTCATTAAAAATATTTGATTGAGTGAAAATTAAACTGTGTGTTGTGTTGATTTCGGGGAGACGAAACGTAGGGAGTATCGTCCTCCCTCCCCCTTGAGATAAACCAGGAGAAAAATATATCAATAAATCGGTTTTGTTAATTTACCGGTTTATTGAGATAAAAAATAAACCAAATAAATTAACTGGCGCTCGAAAGGTAAAATCAAGCTACAGCTAATATTAAGGTCGAAGAAAATTAATTAGTCAATAATTATCAATCGTCACAACCTTTTCTGTAGCCCATAAAATCCTCCACAAAAAACATCTTCTGACATTTTCCCTTAAACCTCGTCATTTCAAAGATATCCACAAAATAATCTATAAAATCGTTCTAAAACCTCTAAAATAGAAAAATCCATACAGATGATTCTGCAAAAATCTCCTAAACGACCTAATTTAAACGAGAACATCAAAAGGCCTTGTTTGGTGAGGAACTAGTTTTAGGGTGGATGTGGGATAAAAATGTGGAGGGAGATGTTGGGAAAATTACGATATGCGTGTTATAAAAAATCTCAATATATTTTCGTGGGATCGAACCACTTGTCACTATTGCCGTACACTCTTTGGTATAATTAATGTTGAATGTCTAATTTTCACTGATAATTGTCTTTCACATTATCTCGTTGAGTCACTGAAATTACTGAACCTAATCAACAAGTTGATGTACTGCGAAAATTATTAAATTTAGAATACTGATGAGTAACTGGCTCTACTCTATCATTATCGTGACGATACAGAAAAGCGACTGCCTTTTGGGGGTTTCGCGATCCCCTGAGCGCTCCACCCGAAGGTTCCCGATGGTGTTCGACGATAATCGGTAAGACCGACCGTTTAGTTGATTGCTGCCTTTCAAACACCCCGGGGGCATTCATCATCAGGGATGATGAATTAATTGGTGAATTTGCTGTTGGAGATTTTCTCTGCTTCTGGCTAATAACATCTTCCAGGGCCTGTTCTGCGGTAGATTGTATGCTGGAGAGGCTTCTGGAAATTCTGATGCTTTTTTGTCGATTTCTGGAGTTTTAACTGTTCCCCACAGTTGTTGATCGTCTATAGTGATAGCTCCTTACTTTGTGTGCAATTGATTATATTAAATTTGCATATTTCCTGGTTCCTGAACTTTGGTGAAGCTCCATCAGCTGCTCGTTGAAGGTTTCTTTACGGCCGTTGGAGAAACCCTCGGTGAACAAACTGTGCAATTACGTACCTCGGAGTGTTCCATAATTGCTGTGTGTTGGCCAACTACTTGAAGATTCTAGGACTTGACGAGGTGAACCGCCTTTATCGGCAATCCTCCTGATAATGTTGAATAGACCAATCGCTTCATTATATAAATCGTTTGTTTAATATTTCTTAGAGCGCCGATTTTTGCAAAATTTGTTGATGATCTCTTTTAGCGATGTAGTTGATGGGCTGACTGTTGATCTGAAGTCGTGTCTTCCTTTGGTGAGCCTTGACCCTCATGTTGGTGATGTTCTTCCTTCTGGTAAGCCCTTTGTCGACTGAGAGAGGCGTAAATTTCCCCAGTTGTCGCCGAACTCATTGTTGTTGATTGCTAAGGGGAGAAACAGGGTGAGAGACGTATCAATTGTCAAAATAATAATAATAAATGGACAATGATACTTAACTCTCAGTCCTGGAATCTCGGATTTCCCCTTGGCTTCTGCTGGTGATGTGCTTCAGTTGAGATTAACGCCAGAGTAGACTCCTCTCGTGTAGGCCTCGATAAATGTTGATAATTCTTTGAGAGTGGAAAATTCCTTGGAGAATCCCATCCTGAGCTCCCATGCCTTCAGAGTCTCGGCATCGAGTGATCTTCTCAGCAAGTGAGCTATCATTTGCTCGGGGATATTCTCCTGTGTCAATCCCGTCACATCATGCAGTTGATTGAGAGTCTCCATGGCTACTGCTGTGTTGGCGCTGAGGTTCTCTGCTGTTGCTCTGGTGATTTTCGGAAGCTCTAGAACTTGATTGAACAATGATTGAGCAATGAGCCTCGGATCGTCATACCTCTTGGTGAGTTTCTGCCAGGCTTTGTTGTAGTTCTCGTCCTTGACTTGGAAGGTCGAGAGGAGAGTTGCTGCTGGACCTCTTAGGCATCCCTTCAGTCGAACCAGCTTCTGTACTGATGGAATCGAAGGAATATTTCCCACCAATGATAGAAAAAGGTCGCTAAATTCTTTCCATTCTTCAGGCTTCCCATCGAATGGTTTAATGTCGAGACGCTTGAGTTGAGTGGCTTGATTCTGATCGGTTGAACTACTGGCTGAGTCCTTCTTCCTTGCTAGTTGACCCTTCAGTCGAGCGATAAGCATCAAGGCTTGTCTTCTTGTCCTTGTGGCTCGCTCATGTACCGCCTCGGTGACGTACTCATGATCAGGGGGGAGATGCTCGACTAGAATGGCATAAATTCCAACATATTCATTCCACTCTGTCTCGATTATCTCCTTATGCCCGTCTAATTCCTTTAAGGTGAGGTCCTCTTCGCTGTCAACATCTTGCGGTAGTTCATGATAGATCTCCATCAGAGTCTCTACCTTAAATGTCAATAGTCTCAATCGACCTTCCTGCTGCATGGTGAGCGCTGGCGGTGAATTTTGTTGAGCGGGCTTCGTTGATCCTGACGATACACTTGGACTGTTGAGTTTTTCCTGAGTAGGGTCGTTGACCTGAGCGTCGTCTGCCATGGTGATTGTCCGTGCTAATTTGTCGGTTTAGGTGAGTTATCGGCTGTTGAGAGGCTACGGGTGGCTGTTGCGTTATCGATTGCCGAACTTTGATGAGTCGCCTGTTGCGTGGCGCACGTGGCCAAGTGTTGATGGGCTTCGGCGACACTCGACACTCACGAACGCTCCCGATTTCGACACTGAATTTCACTGGTATGTCCCTTGTAAACCCGTCGCCCTTGCGGGTGTAAACAAGGCGAATGTTCTGGAAGTTTCCGTTGACTTGCCCGTGCGAACCCCGAATGTTTTCTCGACACGAGGCGTCCCTTAATTTTTCCACAGCACTTTACACACGTTTTCACCCACAATCCGGCTCGAAGGACCACTGTTTGGTGAGGAACTAGTTTTAGGGTGGATGTGGGATAAAAATGTGGAGGGAGATGTTGGGAAAATTACGATAGGTGTGTTATAAAAAATCTCAATATATTTTCGTGGGATTGAACCACTTGTCACTATTGCCGTACACTCTTTGGTATAATTAATGTTGAATGTCTAATTTTCACTGATAATTGTCTTTCACATTATCTCGTTGAGTCACTGAAATTACTGAACTTAATCAACAAGTTGATGTACTGAGAAAATTATTAAATTTAGAATATTGATGAGTAACTGACTCTACTCTATCATTATCGTGACGATACAGAAAAGCAACTGCCTTTTGGGGGTTTCGCGATCTCCTGAGCGCTCCACCCGAAGGTTCCCGATGGTGCTCGACGATAATCGGTAGGACCGACCGTTTAGTTGATTGCTGCCTTTCAAACAGGGCTCTTTTGTAGCCCATCAAATTCCCCACAAAAAACATCTTTTAACATTTCCCCCTAAACCAACTCGTTTCAGAGATATCCCCGAGTCTCGCTTGAGCCACCGTAGAGAGCAGACATGCCTGTTAAGTTCCCTACGCGCTTGACGTTGCGAATCAAAATGTTCTATCGTTTCCTAGTGCTACGGTATCGAGTGAACAATTAAATTAATTTGTGAGGATTAATTCCTCTTGGTAAAACTGCTAATAGTGGGTCCTCACGGAGAGGGCCAACTAAAAATGAGTTCCCAGAATAGAGAAAATCAAACCAATGTGTCACCCCAAACTTCAACGAAACCCTCGTACGTGTCGATGGCAAAGAACACCACTGGACCATTATTCGAACAGGCTATTATCCTGAAGAGGAATGAAAATGCAAAACCCGAAGATCACATTCTTGCCCTTTTGGAAATTATTGATTCATCGAAAATTGTTTGCACTGACATCATTTCCAACGGTCGTATCATTGTTTGGCTGGACAGTGTGCGTACGGCAGACGAGGTAATCAATTCAAAGAGGCACCTCAAAGTAGGTCAGCAAATAGTACACATTCGCCCGTACGTTACCCGAAACAAGAGGATTATATTCAGCCAAGTGTTTCCTCAAGTCCAGGACAGCTTCTTGGAAGAGGAACTGAGAGACAAATATGGAATTAAAATCACAACTCCGATTACGACGATGAGATCAGGATTTAAGGACAAGCGTTTAGCCCATGTAAGATCTCACAGGAGACAAACATATGTTTCCCCGGAGGACGTTGCGAAATTACCGAAGAGAATAGAAGCAACGGTCTTCGGCAAAATTATTTGGGTCTACATCTCGGTAGATACAGCCGCATGTTTTGAGTGTAATAAAGAAGGACACCTCGCGAAAAATTGCCCTAACAAAAAAATTGACAACCAGCAGAACGGACAATCAGTAGAACAGAGTTTCAACACCGACGTGGATCCCTCTGAGATGAGTAATCCTTCTATCACAGCGAATCCTAATCACGAGTTAACTCAATCCCGTCCAATTGCTAATCCACTATCCCCATCAATCGCTGATCCTCCATCCTCCCCAATCACTAATCTTCCACCCCCTCCAATAGCTAATTCTACCATGATAATTGAAGAACTGAGCGATCCCTTGATCAGTCTCTCCAACGAAATGGATAAACCATACACTACCTCAGCATCCATGGCTCCCCCATCCCAAGGATCGCACAAGGAAAAGAGGCCTCTCTCAATCTCCACTCAATCCAACGCATCCGCTGGAAAACCAAGTGTCGGCGCAGAAGGAGTTGATGGAGAATCGGGCTTTCACTCGGACACCGAGTCGTATGCATCCTCCCGCGAAGACTTCACGTTCACCAAAGCACTCAAATCAAGAAAAACCCAACAATCCTGCGAAGAAACCAAGAGTCTCCAGCTCTCCCAGTGCCTCTCAAGAGTCTCTGAAGTCTGCTGGACTAGAGGCTGACTGGGAGGGGGTTCAGGAACTCATGGGTGAAAAAGCAAACGAATTTCCAATAACTCTTACTCGACTTCGCGATTATCTTGAAGAAACTAGGAGTCCCCTCAAAGCGATGGAAAATGCTCTCAAGATAACTGAGTAACTGATGGCACTCTCCATTATGATCGATTACGTCAAGACAAAACTACTCCGGAAAGCACTCAAGAATCGTGTTCCTAAGCTGTGTAAAGCCCTGGAGAAGGAACATTTCGTTCGCCTGGAGTCAAGGAATTATAGCAGCCAAACGAACCAGGAATCAACGATGGAGATCTGAAAGCTCAGCTGAGAGGAGAATACACTACAATGGTTGCGAACACATCAATAAATTCCAATAGCTCCCGACCACCATATACTCCTGTTAGCAGAAAACTCAAAATCCTGTACTGGAATTGCCGGGCCTTCGATCGCCGCAGAGCAGAATTGGAGACCCTCATCCAGGACATCAACGTATTGTTATGCGCTGAAACCCACCTGAAGCCCAATGACACTCATGACCGTAGACTTCCTGGCTTCTTTGTAATTAGGGAAGACCGGAAATACAACACGGGTGGAGGCCTTCTAGTGGCTTTCAGGAAAAATATTACTTATAAACAAATTGAAACTCCAGATATTTCAGACCGGTTAATAGAATCAATCAGATTTCAAATCACAAATTCTCTCCCAGCATTTAATTTATACGCATTTTACAAACCCCCCCACACATCACTCCCCCACTCCCATTGGGACAAAATCTGTGCCTTATCCTCATCTTCTCAACAATCAATTATTGCACGCGATTTTAACTGCCACCACTAAGCGTGGAATTGTAAAGAGAATAAACAGGGTGAGGATAATTTTTATAACTCAATTCTCACTCATGACCTCATAATTCATAATCCGGACACTATCACTAGATATGACGAAACGAGTGAATCGAATATCGATCTAGTACGTTCATCTACCTCACTAGCGGACAACATCAAAGTCACTGTTAAAGACGAGACCTATGAGTCAGATCATTTCCCAGTTCTAACCCAAGTAGCGATCGAAAAGCATATTTATATTAAGAAGTCATTCAAGCTTGCATCGGTTAGAACTGACTGGGAGGCCATTGAGAAATCCCTGGACAATTCCTTCATTCCTACCTTCGTCGAGTCAATTTATGAGTCTCTGTCCAGTCGAAAAATACCACAAGTTCATCACGCACGTCTCGGATCACATAAAATCTAACACTCCTCGTAAAGTTCAGGTTCCTCCGTCATGTCATCGAAACTCAGTCCACTGGTGGGACGCAGAGTGTCGGGATGCTCGGGAGTATCGCATCGCGACTTATGCCCAATGGAAGTCTTCAAAAGCCCATGAGGACTACATTGAGCATAGGCGAGCGGTTGCTGATGCTACCCAGCTGTTTGCGACTAAGAAAAAAAATAGTTTCAGGGCTTTTGCACAATCGATTGACATCAGGAAAAATCAAACATATGTCTGGAACTCGGGTAAAATTTTTAAGAATTCCTGGGTGAATAACACTCCGATGAACAAGAGGGAAAATGCAAAGACCGACGACCAAGCAGAGAAATCCCTTAACTCCATTAGCCCTCCGTGGGCCCACTCGGATCCCGCCTATTTACCTCAGTGTGAACAAAATCCAATGTTAGAAGCTCCATTCTCATATTTAGAGTTTAACACGGCTTTAAGCACCCGCAGCAATAAATCGGCTCCCGGAATGGATGGCCTTTGTTACACTTCCCTCAAGAAACTTCCCCAAAAGTACAAATTAATCCTAGTTGATATATTCAATGAGATGTTCTCCTCAGGAAGCTATCCCCCAAACTGGACTCAGCAATACCTTCATTTTATTCCTAAGCCAGGTGGGTCGGGAGTGAGACCCATTGCCCTCTCATCTTGTCTGAGCAAACTTTTCGAAACAATGGTGAAAAGCAGACTCCAGTGGTGGGTGGAACATAATAACCTCCTCCCAAACTCCCAAAGCGGGTTTCGTAAAGGGAGATCTTGCCACGACAATCTATCGAATCTACTCCTTCATGTCGACTCCAATCTAGTCAAGAATCAAGAAACCCTCGCCGCTTTTCTAGACGTAACGTCGGCATTTGACGAGGTCAACTCTCGAATTTTACTTGAGAAATTGGCTGCAATCGGATGCCCACTAATATTAATTAAATTTATCAAGTTTTTAACATTTGAGAGACAAATCACGTCGCCGTATAACGAGACACCGAGACTTGTATATAAAGGAGTCCCCCAAGGAGGAGTTTTGTCTCCTTTATTATACATCATCTACGTATCCTCCATCGCTGATAATCGCGCGGGCGACGTCACTATCTCCCAATTCCCGGACGACATTGCGATTTACACAAGCTCTCCCACAGTAGCCGCTATGAAACTCTCGATGGAAGATTCCATAAAAGAAATTGATCACAATCTGAATATAATTGGACTAACACTCTCACCGTCAAAAACCCAACTTGTCCACTTCCACCGAAGGAAAATAGCTCCGGCTAACACAAAAATCGAAATTAACAAACACGTGATTCGCTGCTCTCCTGAGGGAAGATTTCTGGAAATCCTATTCGATCAGAGGCTCTCATTCAAACCACAATTAGCTAAAACCCTCCGATCGGCACTCAAATCCCTCAACATTATTAAATTCCTACGAGGCACGTGGTGGGGG